AGTTATCACACAGGAAATCCTCCTCCATAAGTTATATTTCCTATTGTTTCTATATTCTTTTTTCTATTGTTTCTGTATTTTCTACATGTTGTTTTTCCAACAACTTCTAGCAGCTTTTGAAAGCATTTAAGGTTTTTAAACAACAATTAATATAAACAACACATTGAATCAACCTTTTTAAAAATCACCATGGAAAATCTTTTAACCCTTCTCTAACAGTGTTATAGTGCAAAAATAACAAACCCTGAATGTATTTTGCTAAGAATTTAACACCTTTTCTTCACAAATGCAGCATGCCACAGTTTTACTTGGACATGTGAAAAGGTAAGAAATGCTTTCACCTACCAGCCAGTGTTCCCCAGAGCAATGGAAACAGAACTCAGCAGAAGGTTACACTTGGATTCACTCAAAACAGCCTCATTATTTGCAGCAGGAGCAATCACCACAAACTCCCGTAAGCCATACCTTGGGAAAGACAAAAAAAAGAGCGCATTTCTGCTCTTTAGCCAGCCAGCTGGAACAGAATTTTTAGCAACACTGTGACCTGAATAACCTAATTGTCACCAACAGACTGTGGAATCTGATAATTTGATGTGAGTAGCTCTGTCAGAGGGGTCAAGAACTGAGCGGGCAGGGGGTGCTGCACAGTCTGAAATCACAAACCACCTGAGCTCAGCAACATTCAAACCCTGTAAAGTGTTTGACTGTGAGGACTTCCAGGTCTACCAGTCCTGAGGCTTTTTACTTTATAATAATAACAGAAACAATCTCTCTGGAACAATGCTATAATGTGCTAAAGATCTGCATTACTAAGAATACAGCTGCTGTTTCTGAAGGTGCTGCAGCTTTCCTTTTTAAGAATGTATCTAAGCACCACATATATAAAGGTTTGGTTGATTTATGAAACTGAGATAAAAGTCTTTGGGGGACAAAACCCATAAGTAAAAATAGGTCTTTTTTTCCACTTCTTTCCTGTGTCCAGTATGAAGAATCATTTTACTTAAGCTTTAACTTTTAACTGAAAAACAAATACACAAGTGATTGTGCCAGCATCAGAGATGTCTCCATTGCTGTGCTGCTTTGCAATGGAGTCAAGAGGCAGGGCACATACCATCTCACCAGGCAGTGAGCTCGAGGGGGAAAGTCATTGTTCATGCACAGCAAGTCCTGCATTGGCAGGGGAAGGGCATCTGTGAAAAAAAAAAAAAATCCATGCATAAGATCATCAGCACCCATCCAGCTGCCTTGCAAATTGCTTAGATTAGCACTGGGTGAATGCAAAGCATACTAAAAGCAGAAATGTTAGATCACACCCATCGGATTTCACAAAATCTCACTCCGAAGCAAATCAACACACTGTGAATTCCACATTCTGACACTGCCTTTTGTCATATCCTTACAGGTATGGGAGGGAACGAGTAGGTACCTTCTGCCAGCTCTTCTTTCCCATCTTTGTCACTGGGCTCTTGTACAAGGTAATGGTGGGTAACTGAGAATTTGAAGTCCGCAAATGAAATTTCGTCTGATTTCTCTTCCCATGTCCCTGTGGTGAATATCCCCTGCATACAAAAAATATACTGTTTTATCAATGAATTTAGGTTAACATTCATTAGTATATTACCTACATGTTTAGTCATGTTTTTCTACTGCCAAATATTTATTCACAAATAGCTAAGCATGATTTAGTTACAAAAAAGCAACACTCAAAGCACTTCATTAAAAAGGTAGCTGGATGCTAAAATCCATGTTAATAATCATTCCCAAGGATCAGGTATCTCCCTGAGAAGTCTTCAGAATTAAATGGCAATAAAGGGACAGAAACATATTCTCATATCTTACTATGCATCTTAAGCATATGCACCCTCAATTTTGCCAGAGACAGAATTTTCCCACCTGGACTATATCTACACCAATCTGTGCAAATATTACCTTGATATTTACTTTGGATATACTTCCACTACCAAATTATTTTTTTAATCTTTAATTTGCAAAAAATCTGTAAGGGTAATTCATTTTTAAACATAAATACAGCATAGGATATTCTAAAAAAAAAAAAATCAGCATCACTGTACAGAATTCTATACTGCTACTGAAACAAAGCAACTTGGACAACCCTCTGATCTGTAAAGGGTATTAGGAGAGGTCTGGTCTAGCAAACAAGACATGTAGGAATACACAGACAGCTAAGGTGTAAAATTAGTTCATTAGATAACACAAGTTTTTATTCTGAATGCTCTGTACCCTGGCTAAAATCAAGATTTATTGAATTCCTCTGGAAACACAGTAGCCATTCTGTGCAGAACAGCTGAATTTGTCTGCACTGGGACACAGAAGAGCTCAGCAATTTCCTCTGCATTTTACAGGACTGGGAAAGCACCACAGAGGCTCTAATTAGGCTTTGAAAAAAATCTCGGCGATGTCAGAAACATTCTGAGTCACACGTAGCACCCTGCAAACCTCAGCCATGAGGACATGAGGTGTGACAAAGGCACAGGGCAGGGGGATGAGATTCCTTAAGAATTAATTTACAGTGCCTTCAATCACGTTTCCAGATTCAAACTGGAAATCACCAAGCCTTACACGAAGACTCAGCTTTATCAACAAACAGCCTGTTTGGCAGACGGCCCGCCAGTGAATTTACAGCAACTGTTCGTCAAATTGGCACTTTCACAAGTGATATTCCCTAATAAAAATCATTATCTGCCACACCTAAGAAAACAGCAATAGTGTGTATGACTAGTTAGCAATTCAAATGCTAAAAGAAAACTCAGAAGCAGTAACTGACCTTTTCTAGAGGTTTGCCTGAAGAAACCCCAATAAGTTTCCAGTCATTCAAAACTTCTTCTACTTTTGAAATAAATCTATTGGGGAGGGGAAAAGGCATTAATATTTACTGAATAATGAACTTGCCTTACAATTCATCTGCTCAAAAGCAGGCAATTTTTTGTCCTTACTATGGAGTTCCTTAAAAAACTCCAAAGAACAAACAAACAACACAAAAACCCACAACAAGAAGAAACACAATAAAACCAGAACAATTGCTTCCTTTTACAGATAAAACAGAACTCCTATGCTTACATTTCAGATTACAGTTACTCTTAGCAACTGCTATGACCATCTTTTGAGTGTTTGAAGAATCTCACCTTTTTCTTTTTTTGGTATTGCAGCACATAACATTTAACATATGGTCCTGTTTCGCTGCTCACAGATAAATAAACATTTGAGACACAACTACACGCTACACTCACGTTTAAAATGCAGCACTTAATATCTGTCTCTTACCATAAACATAAAAAGCGTTTAAAAAACCAATACATTAAGAACGCAAGAGCATTATTCACCTTAGATTTGTACATTGTTCTAACTTTCAAATAATTCAGGTACGAGATGACTTTTAATAATCAGGCAGCTCCTTCAAAAGCGTATAAGCCTTCTTAATGTATATATTAACCCCCTGCAGACAGATGTTAAACTGGGCCTTTCACTAAGTTCAGAAACAGCTCGACTGGAGCCTCTTCACCCACCCTCGGGCGCGGCCTGAGCAGGACGTGGCACAGCCGGGACGCGGCTCCGGGAGCCGCAGGGTGATCCCGGGTGCCAAGAGCGGCCGTGCCGGGGGGTCCCGGGGGGTCCCGGGGGGTCTCGGCTCGTCCCGGCGGGAGCGGCCGGGCCGGGCACGGCGGAGCCCCCGCGTCACCCCCGCCGTGGGCGAGGGGCGCGGCGGTACCTACCTCTCCCACTCCGAGGCGGTAGTGAAGTCCGTGATCTCAAACACCTCCGACTCGGGCTGCGGAGAGAAAGCGGGAGAGGCGGTGAGAGGGGAAAGCAGGGAGAGAGAGCGGGGAGAGAGGAGCGGGATAAACACTCACTTCGCTGTCCGCCGCCATCTTGCGCCGCGGCCGGGCCCCGCGGGCGCGGAGGCTGCCGGGAAAGCGGCGGAGGGCGGCTCCCCTCACAGCCCGTCCCGGCTCCCCTCACAGCCCCTCCTGCCCGGGCTCCTCCACAGCCCGTCCCGGCTCCCCGTCATGGGCTATCACGGGCTGTCTAGCCCGGGTGTTCCTCAGAGTCCAGTCCGGGCTCCCGCACAGCCCGGCTGCCCCTCACAGCCCGTCCAGCCCGGGCTCCCCCTCACAACCCGTCCAGCCCGGACTCCCCCTCACAGCTCTTCCCGGTGTGGCTCCCTCACAACCCAGCTCCTACCTCCCCGTACCCCGGGCTCCCCTCCCTTCATCCCCAGTTCGCGGCTGGCTCGGCCCCTCACGGGCGCTGTCAGGGGATGTCCACAGGCGCGGTCGGCTCACGGCGGGGGGAATTCTGCTCCCACAGACACTCCGGCTCCGTCAGGGACAGCCGAGAGGACAAACGAAGCCGGGTGTGCCGGGTAGCCGCAGGTGTACGAGTGACACAGCCCCTGGCGGCCGGACAGGGTGGTGTCCCCGGGGCTCGTGTCCCTGCTCCCGCCTAGCCCAAAGCCTTCCCCTCGCTTGTGCCTCCCCTCAGCCGTGTCCCGGGGGACGGCGGCCAAGTGCTTCTGGCATCCAGCAAACCATTTCCTTTAAACACCCTTTCAGCTCAGCCTGAGCCCCACCGTAGCTTTTTCACCCTTTCTTCCCTCTTAGCACAGTCTTAGAAGAAGAACAAGAAATATCCTTAAAATCTTCTGTTTACGGCTGCCAGAAACGGGATTAAAAATAGTCAAGACTAACGTGGAGCGTCGAGGTGAGGGGACTGAAGGCGAACTTAAAATGATGTAGAAACAGATAAGGTATTAAAAGCATTACAAAAAGACAAACAGAAGAGAGGAGTAGGGTTTTCTTTTGCGTGCTGGGGGAGCTGCCCAGTGATTAGAGTTTAAACGGCGGCAGCGTTTAGCTGTGTTTGTTTTCACAGGTCACTGCTGCTCTTTGAATTAAAAAAATCCTCCAAGTAAAACACCCCCCGGGGGGGAGGGAGTTACCTCGGTAACATCGTGTAAACTCAGCAGCCTCGTGTCACAGGAGCTGCCCCGGAGCTCCGCAGTCAGGAAAACACGCCGAAAATCGAACCGAAAAGGTGTGTAATCAACACACTTCTCAATCGATCGAGTGTGTGATCGCTGTTGAATTGCTCGCTGGGCAGCAAAGGAAGGCGGGAGCGAGCTGAAAATGCTTTGTAACTTCTCTTTGGGTCGCTGCGCCTATTTCGCTCCTTGCCGCTGAAGCACCAGGTAAGATTTGGTCGCGCCTTTTCGCAGAACCCCCTCAGTTGTTACTTTGAAGTGCGTTTTGTGCATCCAAAAAAAACGTGCAGAGTTTGGAGAAGTTCGCCATCTGACTCTTACTAGACTAATGTAATGGGGTGAAAATTGTGATGGATTATCCACAGGAATGAGAAATCAAGAGCTCTTCCAAGCTACTTTTGCACAGTTCATTGGAATACCTTGATCATCAGCTATAGGTGATTCAAAGGTAGCTATCGGTCATTCCATTTTTCTTTGTTTCCTCTTCTGTAAACCAAGAATGACAGTCCTGCCTGACGTCTGGCTGTTATATAGTGATAAAATAGCACACATTTCTCAGATGTCGTATAAAATTATTGTAAAAAATTAATTTAATCTAGCAAATGCACGAGTCTGTTGGGAAGGCTGCTGCGTGTTTCCAAGTAATTCTTTATTTGTTTGCTGATAGAATCAGTAACAAAAGCCTAATTCTTTCCCTGACTAGCAATACTGAGTGGCAAAAGGCTGCTGAATCCAACAAAATCCACACAGGCCCTTCATTTCCAGAGAACTCTGTAGTGACTTTGAAATGAAGAGAAAGATACAAAACAAAGATTGTTACTTTCCATCACTAACTGGAGGAAAAGAACAGGGAGGAAAAGAACAGAGAGGAAATATAATTTTATAAAGAAATTAGCAACATAAGAGCCACTAGGTGTCCTATTTTTTATAGTTCTACTTATGGATTTAATAAACATCAACAAAGCTTTAAAATACCTTTCTTTTAGCCTGTCATGCACATTAAAGAACTTAATTCCTTTCTAGCACACCAGGGATACCTAATGTAATAATTTGACACTGTTATTCATAAATGTTTAAATATATATTCATTTGTGTACATGCAGACATATCATATATCTGAATATATCATTTATTTAATGTACACTACCTTATCTATTTTTTACTATAAATTATTTATTAAACAGCAAAGACATTGGTAAATATTTTAATACAGATATGAACTAATATTCATGATTGTATTTTCTTTTATTAATTTCAATCCACTGTCTTTAATTACCATTAACCACTGTCTTAAACACCGTAATTACAAGGTGTTCTTGTAACTTGAGAAACTGAAGTTCAGGATGTTTTTTAGAAAGAGTCCCAAATCCATCAAAACTATTAACTGAGATTAATTTTATTTCAAGAATTAGCTGTCTAGAATTTCAAACTTCAGATCCTTATACTTAACCCTCTCATGTTTCTTCTTTAAGAGTCTACACTTTGAGATTGTTCTGTGTTGTTTTATGCCACTATCACCTTATGGTCTGTTTAGTCTTGGAGTTGATAGTGGTTTTCAACAACTATCAGCTTTAATTTTTTGTCAAAAGATACCATTTCCTTCTGAAAGAAACTCCCTTTAGATTAGCTACAGTTAGAAACACTGAAAAAAATCTCAAAAATAAATATTCCCCACTGAATCAATGTGTTGAAAAGCTTTACACATTCAGGTAATTATCATGTTTTCTTTCTGTGTGATAGAGGTTGGGTAGCTTTGTAAGATGATATCAACATCTGTGGCAGGGGTGAGAAAAGGATCTGTGTGTTCTGCTCCACACTTTCATGCTTTGAGATCTGAACTGCTGTGAAATCTCTGACCCACTGCAGTCAGGAACAGGCTAGCTGAGTTCTCCCAGGAAAGTTCTTTTCTGCCACAACCGTGGTATTAAATTCCACTGCAACCAAATGGCTTTCACACAACCTGCCTTGCAGACCATGACTTTGCTGTCAGTTTGGACAAGTGGTTGGCTACTGATTCTTCCTAACATAAAGTGTAGAAAATAAATGTATGAAGAGAGAAAACACTTGCTCTTTTATTTTTCCTGAGATCAGCTCTTTCAACAAACTAACAACTGTTTGTAACGCTAATTTAATGCAAATTTCAAGGCGTGTTTGGTTTTATAAACATAGTACATTTTGAGTAACGTGTTTTTCTGAACATACAGAAAGATGCTTACAGAAAGGTACTCGTGGTTAGGATGCTATTCCTGACAATACAACAGTGTGAAGTGAAAACCAAAGTTTACTGCTGATAATTTAATAGGCCAACAGTCTCAGGCAGTGACTCTTGGCCATATAAATTCATTCAGAGGCCCAGCACAGCTCTCAGAAATTCCATGGCATCCAGAAAGGCAGTGATATAAAATCTAGTTATTTTTTATAGTGTGTGCGATTTTAAAATGTCTAAAAAATGTACCTTTGTAAATATTCAGAGATAAGATATTGCCCTTCATGCATTTATGAATTTATAATAGGGCTGAGATAAAGTGGGACATTTCTACTTGCTGATGTCAGATTTTTGATAATGTTTTCAGTCAAGTCAGTCTGGATAGTCTGGCTCTGTAGAAGAGAAATGCCCTGGACTGTTTGGTTCTGTGCATTCACAGGAAAGGGCACTGGAGGATTTTGAATAATTTCAGGTGCTTTTCAAATGTTTTTCTCTTACTTATGGCTCTGAAATATAAATTGCTGCTTTGTATTCACACCTGTGAATTGGCAATCAATTAACAGCCTGTTCTTTTCAGGTTTCTGGACCTTAATACGTTTAAGGACAGTATGTCTGACAGCCATCAAAATAAGAGGAGAAGCAAAAAAGGTAGTCTGACCAAAGTTTATGTGTATAAAGTGCAACATGAGGGATCTGAAGAAGGAAAAGTACAATAATAACTTGAAATCTGGATGTTTGTCAAAATTAAACAACCATAGCAAAATATGAAATCAAATTGAGAGTTACTTCCCTCCCTTGTAAAGCCCTGAGATTTGTTTTGGTTGTCATATTTTTAAATGCTCTACTTCTCCGGAGTTTCTGTCAATGTTTGTCTTCTACTGATCTAGGAGCTGTAACTGGAATTATTTGCAGATGTTCCTTGCTTTGATAGTCCTTTGAATTACTACACTTACCAAATAACTAAAACTAAATCAGAGTTATGCATTCACATTTCAAAAAAATATAAATTAGTCAAATGTAACATACTCTTGTTTTTTTCACTGATAGTTACTTCATGTACTTTATAATAATATTTTAATGCCCCAAAATAACCATGTTTACAATGTGTGACTGGTCAGTGAATTAAACTGCTGTTATGCAAATCCTGATGTATTGTTGCAGGTTGTGGAAGTGTTGGTGCCTTTCAGGATGCAGAGCAGACAATGGAAGAAATGCATCAGTCATACAAAGCTCCAGGAAAAACCAGGTTATTCACATTAGTATTTAATTTGCAGCTGGGTATGCACAAATGGAGACAAAGAGGGTGATAGTCTGTGAGTAAGGAAATATTTCCCAAGTGCCAGCCATTATATACAGCTTTAAATGTTGTGTGGTGTTTATCTCTTCCCAATGGCTGGAGGCAGGATGTTGCATTAGATGAACAAATTATTTGGTAGAATTTGTTTGAAAAAATAGGGGATGTGGTTTTACATCAGAATTTGACTTTAGGATAAACTCAGACTGTGTTTTTGGGTCTCTTTTCAGTCACAGTATTTATCTTTCTCCATATTTTTGGTTCTTCAGAAAACAGGTGGCAGGAGCCTGAGGCTCATCTGCACAGCCTGTGTTCCTTCAGGCAGGCCAGAGCATATTGTTTAAGTAACAAAGGCACATCTAGACCTCAGAGTTCTTCTGACACCCTTTCCTGATACATACTGGAGGCAGTCAGGTTTTGTCCAGCAGGGGAAGGTGAACAAGATGTTTTGCAGTTCCTGCTGTAGCTTGGTTAACACTGTCAGTCATTCTCACTTGTACTCAGTCTCTGGCTTTGCAATCAGATGCTTCCAGGGAGAGGTCCAGCTTCCCAGATACAGAAAGAAAAGACACTTTGGCACTCTTGGATTTTAAAAACTCCTTGTTCCCGTTATTCTCCAGTCATATGATTGTTTGAGCTGCTCCTTCCACTTGTTTTCACTCTGTATTTTGGTTTTTGGTTTTGCCTTCTAGCCAAACAGCACCAACATCCAGACCATGGCCAGACCAAGAAGTGGCACATTTTCCAAGTAAAAATCCATTTACAGTGCAGAGGGGACATCACACTTCTTTACCTTTCTTCCCAAAGAAAGGCAACCTGGGATATGCCTTTGACTTCAGCTTTCTGCTACAGACCTCGTGTCCAGAATACAACATTTTGAAGTCATTTGTGGATTTAGAGACTTTTCAGATAATGAAAGCACAAACACAACAAAGTAAGTTCAGTTTAAAAGTCACAAATCTTATATGGAGTTATATATTAGTTATCACATCAGGTGGCAAAGCCTTAGAAGTCCTTTTTCTTTAAACTTTAAAGCTGTCTTTATGTCAGGTTGACTTTTTCTCATAAACTTAAGCCATGCTAGCCCCCCTTCTTTAAATATATATATATATATTGCAGAATGAAGGAGATAAAGAGAAGCAATGACAAACTTCACCATTCTTGTTACTCTGTAAAACAAAACTGAGCCCAAAAAATGTAAATTTAACTTTCTGTACCTGGAGTGGGACCATGATGGCATCTCCTTCACTTTTCCCTCATACTGGCAATATTAATTAGCTACATACTATAATTAGCAAAGATCTAAAATAGTGAAGTATTTGCTTAAATTATTAATATCAAAATATTTAAAAAATATAGTACTTTATAGTTTTTCCTAGAAAATAGAATTGTAAAGTTCAGTATCACAATGAAATTTCGACCTGCAACATTTTCTGCACTGGGGATTTGTATCATAGTCCTAAGACCACTCATCAGACAGATCCTTGGCCCCCTGGACATCACAATTTGAAATTAATTTGTAAATGAGAATAGTAGCATGTTTAAGAACATCAAATTAACATTTCATTGGTTTTGATTTTTAAGGGCTAAATGTAACAATGCTAAAAACCAGGAACAAGAGATCTAAGGTAAGATGGCATTAGGTATAATCCCTGTTAAAAGTATTCTATCCTTTCAAAATCTTAAAAATAGAAATAAAGAAGTAATATAGGTAGCTTGCTTAGTCTGAGTTTTTTTTTTTTTAATAAATGTGAAGTATTTTTATATTGATTTTACATATATGTGTGTGTGTCAGCAAATCCTGAGATTTATATCAACAAATTGCCAGTAAGAGATTACTTCAGGGATTTTTGGAGGTAAAAGGTTGAAAGTTCAAGAAGCCTCTTAAAATAGAAATATGTAATTTAATTTAATGAATGAACATCCTATATGTTAAAAAAATTAGATGTCTAGTTTTGCCAAATTTAAAAAAAGCCCAGACAATTTTCTTATATTGAGTGGTAATTTAAAATTGAAGCTGCATTTTAAAACAGTCTTGCTATTAGATAATTACTGAAATTAATTGTATTAACAAATGAAAAATAATCTCTGAGAATTAAACGTATTTGACATGAAAATTTGTGATAAGTGTAAATGGGATTTTTGGACATAACTTGGGCTGTGATGATGCTGAAGGCATCTCATGGGGGATAAACTGAGCACTCATATCAGCGCCCCCCAGGCCAGACTGAGCCTTCAGAACTGTGCATTTCAAACCAACACACGTGGCTTTTCCTGGCATGTTCAAACCTCAGCTTGCCCTTGGAATGCCAACCAAAATTTCCTGCAGATTGCAAACTGATGTGGAACATAGACATGCAAATGAGTACTCCCAGCAGATGACTGTGTGATTATTTCTATTGCATCCATTTGCATGAAAATACACAGTATATTCAAGTTTATTTTTATTTCATTTCCTATAAAATAAAGAATAGAAGTCCTATTTTCAGGAAATTATTCTCATTGTTCATGTGAACAGTCACAACAAAGTGCTCCATTTCTCAGACCTTTCAAAGAGAGGTGGAACCTTCCACTGATGTGATGGGAAAAGAGGGAAGAAGGGAGGAATAATAAAACACATCCCCTACCCAACAAACTTCTGTGTTAGCAGCCATATGAAAATGGCCTTTGGGTTTATCCATTTACCCTCACTGGAACTCATGTGCAGATTGTGCCAATGCTTTCCAATGTGCCTAAAACTCTCAGTGATTACATTTTACCTGTATCTGTGTTGTAGCACATTATTAATGTGTTTTTTAATGGAAATTACAGTTTCATTTGCCACCAGTGACATGTGAGCCTGTAAGAACAATTCATCTTGCTCCTCTAGAGGATGGTATTGTCAATGAAAGCAGCAACATCAGAAATATTTTAAATATTATGAACTCTGTTCCTCAGCCTATAAAATCGGTTACCAAATTTTATCATCATCAGTTAGACAGCCTATTCAAAAGGCACAGTGAAAAGTCATCAGACTTGATTGTGGCTACAATTTCTGGTAAGTTCACTCCAGCAGAAGACCTGTGCTGCTTCAGCATGAGGAACTGCTCTAAGCACCCCAACAACAAGAAGGAAGGAATTCAAAGCCATTTGAAATACAGGGAGGCTGATGTAGGTGCCCCCACTGACAGGAATGAGCAGGTGGAGTTGCAGTGCTCAGTGGTTTGTGAGAACATGGATCCTGTGGGCCTGGCCAGGCTCTGTGGTGACACTCACCACCACCTGAGCTCAAGTGATGCTCTGGTCAGCTGTGGTAGAGCTCACACAGCATTTACCACCTCGAGCAGCAGCGATGCCTCGAGAGCTGGCAACCAGCAGAGGGGAGCAGGGAATTGCTGCAGCCCTGGCCCAGAAGAAGGAAACCCTGCAGAGGTGGCACTGGATTGTGCACCACGTGGAGGTGCTGAAAGTGCAAACTCTGGGCTTGGCAATCGTGATGTAGATCCTTCTTGTGGAAATGAAGTGACAGGGGCCTACCATGCCTTAGAAGATAATTCTGTAGCTGCAGTAATTCCCACAGTAGAAGTTCAAGATCCCTCTGGAAAACAAACAGAAAATCACATCTGTCCCTCTGAATCTGAAATGGAAAAAGCAGCAGTGTCAGAAGCAATTCCAGAAGACCAAAGTGAGCTTGTACCTGCTGTTCATGTTCCATTCTCTGAGCAAGAGCCAGCCAGGGAACCACACACTGCTAAACAACCCCCCCCAAAAGAGAGTGGTGGTACTCAGAGCTTCAGCGCTCTTGCTCACAAAGAAAGTGACAAAAATAAAAGAAAGATTAATAGAAATAAATATTCATCCAAATCTAAAGCTAATAACAAGCTAAAGATGTCTAAAGGCTTCGTTGTTTCTGATGAGATTACCGCAAAATGTAATGCCAAGAGTCAAATTTTTCCTTCTTTAGAACTGCCACAGGGGAAATCTGAGACTTCCCTGAAGGGTCAGAAAAAAAACCCTCAAGGAGACAAGGGTCGTTCTTCTCAAAGTGCTCAGAAACCTAAAAAGCAAAGTCTCTCCTGCAGCTGCAGAAGTTCAGCTGTGTTAAAGAAAAGTGTTACTCCACTTTCTCTGCCTCATGCACCATCTGCCTCCGATTTTGGAGACCTGAAATACAGTGACATGTTCAAGCAAATCAACTCAGATGACCAAGGGCCGGGGATTTACGAAATGTTTGGAACTCCCGTGTATTCCCACGCACGGGAGCTCGAGCGCCACGAGAGCAGGTTTTATAAAAGTCTTTGTTCTGCTCCCTCGGGGACAGGCACTGCCAGCACCTGCAGATGTACCTGCCCCAGAGGGAGGGAGAGCAGCAGGGGAAGAAACACTCCAAAGAAAACACATCCCAAACCGAAGCAGACGAAACCCAGCACTAAACAAAAGCAGAAAGGTTCAGTCCCAAAGGATGGAAGTACCAAGCTGAGTGACAGCAACACAGAGCAAGAGAAGGTGGTAACTTCTGATGCAGAGTTTCAAACAAACACGTCAAGGAGCACGGCATTGTCTCATGGAGACACAGACCACCAGCTTATGTCTTTAGAAGAGCTTTCTCAGTCAACCAAGCAAAATGAAATTTTTTCAAATTCAAACTTATCAACTATCAAAGAAGTTACTTTGGAGCAGTCTTTAGACAGCCAGGATGTGTCCAACCATCAGAGAGCTGCTCCCTGTAGCCAGGATCTTCTTCAGCTCAGTGCTGAAGACTGCAGAGACTGTGTTGCTGCAAGGAGCAGTCTGCTACCAACAGACCAGAACATCGGTGTGTCCCAGTGCAGGGGGGAAGGGGATGGTGGCAAAGGCCTGGAATCACACCAGGCCTCCTTCAAGTCTGTCCAGAAATGTGAAGCTTCATCCTTTTCAGATAGACTGGAGTGTCAATCCCCTACAGAGAAATCAAATCACAGTTGGACCAACACCCCCCAAAATAGTGTTTTAGCAAATGAATTGACTCAGCAGTCAGTGACTGGGACAGAAAGTGCTAAAAGCCTCAATTTCCAGACAAGTCAAGACACTTTGTCCTGGACAGATAAAGATGTAACTGATGAGTTGCTTTGTTGCCTGGCTGAGGAACTGCTAATGCTTGAAGAAAAAGACATCAACTCTGCAAGAACAAAAAATACAGGTTCTGAAATGCAAAGCACACCTACTGAAGAAGAAGAAAATATGATGAGTGGAGATGGAGCAATAGTAAATGATGCTCTAGAGAAGGTAAAAGTAATTTCTTGTAACTTGCTACCTCCTTTGAGTGGTGATTCACTCAAGTTTGGATGAAAGACAGGAAATATGTGCTTATTAAAGATCAAATCTCTTTTCCCTGGGCCAGCTGCCCACTGATTCTTCCAGTGCTAGGTTGAAGACACCCATGTTAGAGGCTGCATGTCAGGACACAAGCCAGAAGGTTGTTAGGCAGGTCAAGAATAGCTGTCAAAGCTTACATCATGGGTCCAGATAAATTGAGAAGTTGTTGTGAAAGCAGAGAATAGGTTGTTTTAATTGTAGAGCAGGTATAAAATGTTTTGGGCAAGGCAAAAGCTCTTGAGATCCTGAAGCTAAGGAATATGAAAAGACACTACAAACAGTGGTTGTATATCCAAAAGGGCAATTGCCTTGAATCTCTGACTGCAGCCAGGCACTTTTATAGGTATGAACTACAAGTATTGGCTTCTCAGGCAGACTTGAGGCTGTTTAATTAATGTTTAATCAAAACTTGGAGCTCACAAGACTCAGATTCTGGCCCCTAGGTCAGTTAAGAGCCATCACCTACCAAGGTGCTTATCTACCAGCACTGCTCCTCCTCTGCCCTGTTAGCTTTTGGGCTATTTAAATCACCAGTTTATAAGGGAATTTCTTTCACTACCTGTTGATACACACACTGTTATGCTTGTGCAGACACAGGTGCCAGTTGTACCTTCATTCTCACTGCAGAGATCCCTGGCTAGATGAAGGAATTACTGCCATCTTATTCACCTGGCCTTACCTAGCACAGCAGTTGTTTGGATGGGCTGGGTGATGTCTGTGTGTGTACATATGTGTGTATGTATATATATATATATATATATATAAAACTGTTGAGCAGAGCCATGATAGGAAAAATGATTCCTTACAAAAATTGTAAGGACACTGTGAAGCCTCTCTTTTCCTCTCTGCTTTCTCCCCACACTGACCAACATCCTTCAAGCAGAGTTGCAGTAAAGCCTTTTTGGCACCAAGTGAAGAAAGTGGCCTTCTAAACTTTGATGAATCTACTAAATCACCGGGAAGCAGCTTAACTACCCAGGATCCTATCAAGTGGACAAGAGGGGAAGTCCTTGGGAAGGGAGCCTATGGCACAGTAAGTAATGTCTGAATGTTAAGAGATGTGCTGGTTGTGGCTCAGCTCCACTTTTATCTCATAACTGGCTGTTGTCCTGTTAACAAATGACTTCAGTGTTTTGGGTTGTACAGTGAGACACGAAACATGACAAACACAAAGATACTATTTAAAATAAGTAAACACTCAGCTTTACCTCATGTTTCAATTTAAAAACTGCTGGTTTCATTGCAGGTGTACTGTGGTCTGACCAGCCAGGGCCAGTTAATAGCTGTAAAACAGGTTGTTTTGGACACGTCGGATCAACTCACTACAGAAAAGGAGTACCAGAAGTTTCACGAGGAAGTTGATCTCTTGAAGACGTTGAAGCACGTCAACATTGTAACTTACTTAGGAACCTGCCTGGAACACAACATTTTAAGCATTTTCATGGAGTTCGTTCCCGGTGGCTCCATTTCCAGCGTCATCGATCGCTTTGGCCCGTTGCCAGAAGTCGTCCTTCGCAGATACACCAGGCAGATTCTGCAGGGGGTTGCCTATTTACACGCCAACCGCGTGGTGCACAGAGACATCAAGGGCAGCAACGTGCTGCTGATGCCCAGCGGGACGGTGAAGCTCATCGACTTCGGCTGCGCCAGGCGCTTGGCCCGGCCCGGCCCCGGCGGCCCCCGCAGCGAGACGCTGCGGTCCGTGCGTGGCACTCCCTTCTGGATGGCCCCCGAGGTGATCAGCGGGGCCGGCCACGGCCGCAAATCCGACATCTGGAGCGTGGGCTGCACCGTGTTCGAGATGGCCACGGGAAAGCCCCCCCTGGCTTCCATGGGCAGGATTGCGGCCATGTTCTACATCGGGGCACGCAGGGGGCTGATGCCGTCCCTGCCCCAGGGATTCTCCGGCGCCGCCGTGGATTTTGTGCACGCCTGCTTGACCAGGTATGGAGAACCTCAGCTGAAAACTGAAAGGAAGGATGCAGACAGTTTGGATTGTAGACGCTGTTGGTGGGAGCTTAGGTGACATCTTAAATGTGCATGTCTCTATTGTCAGTGCTTAGGCTTCTCAGCTCTTCAGGAGAGCCTCTAAATAATAGTATATATAAAAGAGCTTTACTCTCTATAATGGTACAGAAAGACCCTCACAAATTCTCTCTTTGTAGGCCTTACACTCACAATTTACTTTTCTGTCATTTTCATGCAGAAACACCACTGAGTTTTAGAGAAAATGTGTGACAACTTTCTTTCATGTGCTTTTTTGATTCAGTATTGCTTGAGTTTGGCTTATGTCAGCCGAGTTTTTTTGAGGACAATACTCTACATGAAAGGGCTTCCACTTATTTCTTATCTTCTGCAGTGGAAAAAATCTATTATCACTGCCAGTCTAGGAAACACTTGAAACACAATCCTTATTAGAAACATCAAGTTCTCTATATAACAACCCCCAACCACCAGCATCCACCCATTATAAGAATTATTTTTGTGGTCTTTGTTTTGTTTTAAATATCAGCTGTGCCCCAGATGTTTAGATGGACTATGAGTTTCAAGAGCTAAATTCCTGACCTCTGTGTGTAGTTTTTAGAAAATTAGGAGCAGTCATTTACAGATCTCTAAATTTGAGTATACAAGAGAGAAGCATGTTATTTAGTGGGCATGGCAGAGATCCTGGGGGGCAAGAAACCCAATTTCTAATCCCTGGATTAGAACTGTTATGGAACGGTTCTGGTTCCTGTGAACCACATAACAATAAGAAAAACTGGGGGCTGTATATAGTGACATTATAAATATGCTTCAATTCAGTGAGAAGAGTGTTTAAAAGGTCTGTCACCCTGACTGATGGAGGATCAAATGAACAAATACCACTCTTCTTAAATAAATTTTTTGTTGAACCTGAAACAGCCAAATTAGCAGAATTATTCAAAGCTCTGCAAGAAATTTAGAGAAATAGAGTCTGATTTCTTTAAGAATAAAATTTTTCAGGTTTATAATTCATAAATTCCAACAGTCTTTTCCCCTGAAGCCTCCCTTCCTTTCTACCATCTTTATCAAAAAAAAAAACCTAAAAATGGTGACTGGAGAAATAAGGGAAAAAAAAAAAAAGGCTAATTTTGCATTTAGATTTTACAGTTCCCTCAGATGCACAGTACTAATTTCATGTCCTGATTTTTGAAATGCAGAGATCAACACGAACGTCCTTCTGCTCTGCAGTTGCTGGACCATTCCTTTGTGAAAGGCAGACAGTGAATTTTCCGAAACTCTTGCCAAGTGAGTACTCATTTTTCATATGAAAGATTTCCACTTGTGAAAAGAGACCAGAAGGAACTGGACTTTTAAGGGACAGCAGAAATACTGGAGAGCAGTTGTGTGCAAGGAGTCTGTTATTAGACCTTTGATTAAGCAGGCTCCAGGCTTCAAGCACCCTGAAGGTAAAAGGGATTTTATGTTTGAACAGACTGCCTTGTAGGTCGAGTTGTGCCTCTTGTCTCTTGTCCTGTCACTGGTAACTCTGAAAGTGAGCACTCTATAATTAGCTGACATGTAACAGTGTCCATCTGTACTGCAACAGTAATTGTAACAATTAGTAGAACTACCTACTACTAACTAACCAAAATGAAATAAAATTAAAAAGTGTAATTATATAGTAATAAACCAAAGCAAAAAAGCAGGTATTAGTATTCAGAATGTCCCGTTCCTATTAAGATTTCTTCCTATCAAAATGGGGTGAACTTTAAACCTTTGTGAGCACCCAGGCTCCAGGAAGAGATGCAGTAAAACTCAGCACCTAAAGCTGGTCAGAGATGAGCTCTCAAGGATTCAGGGCACTGACTTCAGTGCCAGCAGTAACATGAAAATTAGTGTTTTACAGAAGGGCAAGAAGGAAGTTCTAAGTTGTATATAAACCCAACTTTCCTCAGAGTGCTAAACACTTCAGTTTCATAAACAGCTTTCAAGCTTTGCTTTATTCCAGTTGTCTGATTTCAGAGAGTTGGTCTAAATTTTATAAAAGCAAAGAGAAACCAGTACTTCTGGCAAAATCCTTTATTGATAGTTTCTGTAGGCATAATGTCACATAATGACAGAACATAATGCCAGTATAAGAGAAATGCCAACATCACAGTAATCTTCCAAATTCAAGCAGTTAACAGTCCCACTTTGAGGAACACAGGTTGCTGCTCATGCCAGGAATCCATGGACACGTCACGTTAAGGGATCTTCACGTTTAAGTACCTTGCAGAGTGAAGGTGGGAGCCCTGGCACAGGAACTCAGGGGGGATGTACAGAATTCCATGATGTGCATTAATTCTTCTCAGATTAATGTAGTGTCTCCAGCAAAGCTGCAAAGTAAATATGAGGTTTTATTTAGCGTGAAATGAAGCTGAGATGACAGATACAAGTGGGGAAGAATGGGAATGCTCTAGAATATAGAGTTAATTAATAAAATATCAGCATTATAAATCCCCTTCCTTATGCACGACTTGTAAGCAAAACTAACATCTCTTGTTAGAGCTCTCCAATATTAAGGTTATTAGTTATTTGTAATTTAAGTGTCACATTTAATCCAGCTAATTACACTAACATTAGTTGGGAACTGAGAGGTTTGTAAAACTTGACCCCGAGCTTTTAATCAAAATGTGGAAGCACATTTTTGCTTTTGATTAACCAGATGTTGAGGTGGCAGTTCAAGGCCAGCACTTGCAATAAGTATCTCAGCCTAATCTGCTGCAGATCACGGGGGATGTGCCTGCAGCCCAGCCCGGGGCACAGCACAGCTAAACCAAGCAGGACAGCGGGTGGGGCAGCCTTGGGTCACTGGGCTGAGCTGCTCTAGTGGGACATTCTAGGAACCAAGTCTAACTTTGCTGTTTCTTACTTGAGGAGGTCACAGATTTTCACATCCAAACCCAGATGCCTAATTGAGGTGTCCAAGGTAGTCAGGAGAAGGGGTGCAAAACCTTGAAAGCTGTATATTCCAGGAGAAGTGACTCAGGGAGGAGGGTGACACTTGTTTAATGACAGTACTTGAGCAGGGCCAGCCTTACTGGTTTCAATCTGAAACCGGCAGGAGCCCATTACAATTCATGCCAGGCTGCCAAGCACTAGGAGGGTGTTTTGCTGTGACTCCAGGGTTCCTCAAGATTTAAATCAGGGAACCTGAAAACACACAGTTCTTTTGTGTCATTGCAGGGTACTTGCCAGTCCTGTCACACGGTATTGTTTGAAGCTCTGAGCCACTGCTCCCATCTCAGGAGCGGGGAGGGTCCTTAGGAATGCCAACCCACCTGCTTTACACTGGTCTTGGAACTACCAACAGCAATAGGATGTAAAAATTTGCATCTAAAAATACATCTACCTCTTTCCAAGGAAGCAGACACTGAGCCCAGAAAACCTACAGTCTCTTGAGATTATTTGGGTTCCAAATCAGGGCTTTTTCAGAGCTAAGCAGGAACTGATGCCATTTCTCCACCCCTCCTGTCAAGTCTCTGGTTCTTGCACATAAGCAGAAGGGAACAAGAGTTCTCCTGAGGAAGGGCCTCCAGTACACACAGTCCAGTGCCTTTTCTCCCCTTCTTTTCCCTTCTCCCAGGGACCTGCACCATGGGACAGCCTCAGAAATTTTACAGGTGTTGTCAAAGAACACAAGCTCTCAACTGAGGCAAGGAAAATGTTGCCATTATAGGTGCAGGAACACAGAGGAATCAAACCCAGCTATTGAAGGTCTAAGGTTAAAAATTGGATTTGGGTTTTTTATATCCATGTCAGGAGCCAGACAAAGGAATTCCCAACAGCAACTGGAGAGAACACTCCTGGCACTAGTGAACTACTTTTTTAAAGGTGTAAGAACTTAGGCATTCCAGAGGAAGGAGGAATTAATTAGCTAGTTCAGTTTGGCATAACTTCCAAGTCTTTGAAGACATTTACTTTTAGAACTGATTATTGGAACGTGCATTTACATCCCAGCTAAAGAAAGCAAAGTGTTTGTCCAATTCCCTTCCCTGCAAAACAAGGATTGGGAACCCTTCCCCCTTCAGGTCAGAGAGATGCTTGGTGTACAACTGCCACCCACCCTCACTGCTCAAATAACCACCCTCCCCTGAAGCCACCCAGCCCCTCCACAACTGCAGGGCACAGGGAGGGAGCAGCTGGAGAGGGCACCAAATACCTGATCACCAGCATGGAATGGGAGCACAGGAAACAAATCAGACTTCAGACTTCCAAGCAGTCTGTTATTTGACTGATTTGATCAAAACCAGCAATGTTTAGCCAATAACTCAAAGGGGAACTTTGTGTTTCCAACTTGCTTTGTAAAAATTCAACATAGGAAAATGGGATCATTTCTGCACAATAGAGGTGAGGTAGGGAATTTTATTGAAAATACTTTTTTTTTACAAGTTCTTAGAAATAAAGTTTTTTCTAATCTCACACAAACGGCTGTACCTCAAAAATGCAACTAAGCTATTATGAAACATTTCTATTTACAGTTAGCCAGAATGTACAGAACTGCCATGTTATGCAAATAGCCAAGGACCAGCTCACAGTGAGATACATCAGCCCAGCACTCCCACCATCAGGAACAGACCACAATTCAACACAGGAAAGAATTTCACTATTCTACAAACCTCAGATCTCACAAACAGGGAGATTTTTAATAGTGTTGTACCAAGGTCCCCACTACAGCATCATTTTACAAATTACATAATTCTTGTACTCAAATTTGTAACAAAAACTCTGTAAGAAGTGATGAACAAAGGAACAGTGGTGACTTTGAGCCTTTTATTGCATTTATTCAGTCATTCCTGTGTGAGGCCGAGGCCGATCCCATCAGTTTTCATTCCTTCCCCCCCCTCAGCCAGGCTGCCATTTACACCAGTCACTGATTTCAGTCAGGGCAAACTCATGGCACCTGGAGCATCTCCACTCAGCCCCAGGGCTCCCCACATGGAATTCAGTTCCAGACACAATGACACGTACAGTTTCACCTATTTACAATGGCATTGAAACCCAAACCCCATGAGTTTCATGGACATCCTTTACAGAGGAACCAAAACCCACTGTTTGGATCTCAATGTAGCATAGCAACATTTTGTCCACTATGATTTCACAATTTCCCAGAATCAAAACAGGAGATAATTCTTTTGAAACAGCACCTTAAGAGGAAGGCCTATGCTCATTCCAATGTATAATAGACAGGCACTAGTTACCATCCAGACATTTTAACTCCAGCTTGTGACAGAAACTGCTATATTTACAGTACAATATATTGCTTATCCAGAGTGGCTGTATAAGATGCATTTCATGGCACACCTATTTAAACAGACTCAAAAAGAAAGTATTGTAGTGCTTCAAAGACAAATTAAGACAGTTTCCTGCTATGTCATCTCTCTGCCCAGGCTCTGGTTTAGGACAGTCTATAATGCAGATTACATTGGTTACAAATCAGATCCAGGAGTAGCACTGAGATGGAAAGGAAAGGGACTATAAAAGGATAGAAAATATCCAACAATGCAGAAGTTTGTAACAAGAAGTTACATTCCCAATGTAGAAAAATAACCAAGTCAGTAGGGATAAGACAGCTTTGGATTTTGTACACGAGCCTCGACTTAAGCTAAGATATAGCAGAAAATGCAGTCAGGTTTCCATTTAAATATTCCTTAAAGTGTAAAAAAAGTATCCATAGTTCAAATAAAACTTATTCAAGTAATTACAAGCGTTTGCATTACTGGAAACAGAGTATTACATAGTAATTGAGATACTGTAGTTACATCAGACAGCAACTACCGACCGGGCTGAGACTGAACAGTTCTCTCATGTAAAGCACAAGTGAGTAAAGAACTGGAAGGGCAAAGCTGCAGGTGTTCCCTGGGGACTTACAGAGTTAAGGGAGCACTGAGGGAATGAGCTTAGCAAAAAGTTCACATCATGGTCACTTCCGAGTCCAAAGA